AAAAAAAAATCCAAACTTATAATGAAAGTTCTAAGGGGAAGGGAATAAAAACTCTAATTATTAAAATAAACAAATACAGTATAAAATATTTTAATTATAAACAACGACTCAACTTAGAATTAGGAGAATATAATTTAAAAGGATTCTGAGATGATATGTATTATTTTTCAGTCTGGTAAAATTCCAGAAGTTTGTCCTTTCTTTTTCCAGGGTACACGTGGAGAAACAGGTACCCCAAAACCGTATTAGTGGGAGTTCAACTAACTCTCATATCAAGAGCCCTATGGAGAGTAAGTCAGTGACAATTAAAATCACAGATGTGTTTTATCTCCCGCAGACTTCCAGAAATGTATTTGATATGATGGCTGGATATAAGCTATTGTTTAATAGGTGCTGAGCTTGAGTTTCACAAAGTAAGCATAGAGATGGCCAATAGAGGTGACTGCACAGTATGCTTACTACACTGATGTGGACATTTAAAAGTGGTTAAAATAATAAATTTTTTGTCATGATATTTTGGTACAATAAAAACTTGGAAAAATCATTAACATATATACCTGGATACCTAGGTATCTAATATTAATGAGGTGTCAATAAGGATTACACATTAGAAAATCTCAATAAAGGGAAGTTGGAGCTAGGACTAACTGAAAACAGAAGTTCAGCTTTCCAGTCATGGGATGCACATCCATGGAACCTTTAGGAAAAGGGCACAGATGCACTAGGGAGGCAGAAGCAGGTGGATCTCTGTGAATTCAAGGCCAGCCTGGTCTACATAGTAAGGCCATGTCTAAAATAAATACATAAATAAAATAGCTGTATGAGTGCTCAAGGTGACCTGATCAAAACTGAGTGTCTCTTTATACACCACCACCAACACCACCACAAAACAATCCATCTTAGACCCTTAGGGACTCTTAAGATACATTGATCAGCTAAAATGTTCTTGAAAAAGAAAACTGGAGAACTCTATGAAAGTACAATATTGAAATATTGTGATGGGGCTGGCAGGATTGCTCAGTGGGTAAGTCTGGTTTACACCAAGCAAAGTAGCCCGAGTTTGATTCCTGGATGCCACAGAGTAGAGAGTGCCAAGTCCTGTCAAGTTGTCTTCTGACCTCCAAACATGTCATAGCATACACACCTCCCCCCATATAAGTATTTGTTAAAAATTAAATTGTGATAAAAATGTACATGCAGACTATGGATCAATCAGAGCAGAATGACAGAGCCCAGAAGTAACCCCTCACATAAGGTCAAGTCAGCAAGGCCATGTGATGAGGAAAGACAGCCTTTCACCACACAAGGCTAGAAAAATTGCACAGGCACATAAAACCAACCAACCAACCAACCAAACATAACTCATACCAAACACAAAATTAATGTAAAATAGAACAAAGTCCTTAACAGAAGACGTAAACGCCTTAGAAGAAAGCAAGGGGAAAGCTTGGTGGGAGGGGTGAAGGGTGGGTCTAACAATGAATCCTTAGATATGACAATCAAAGAAAAACTACTTAACCGTGACTTAATAAAAAACTTTTATAAAATTTTTCACATGTCAGCCCTCATGCTAGTGTGACGGGGCAAAGGAAGGAGCCCGTCCGTCTGCTTTATACAGGATGCAGAAGGCTTCCCAGATAATAGGCAAAGCCATGTACCTCACGGACAGAGGACAACACCTCTGGCACAGGAAGCAACATGGCTCAGCACACCTGTTATCCATCCTAGCGCACGTAGTTCAAGTTCAAGGCCCTAGAACTAAAGGCACATGCCTGGAATCCCCGCCAGCCTGGGTTACCTAAGAGTTTCAGGGCAGCCTCAGTTACGTAAGAGTTCCAGGGCAGCCTGGGCCAGTGTGAGATCTTGCTACAAAACAAAATGAAACAACACACACTGAAAAGATCAGAAGGAATCTTTAAAACACAGTAGGAATCATAAGGGAAGATGGTTTAAACTGATTTAAAAATTTAGTAACGAAACCAGAGAAACAAAATTTGTTTAACTCTTATTAAAATAAAAAAACATTTTAGACATAAGAACATTTAGGATCTTTTTAAAGCTTACTTTGTATATTTACAGACACACCTAATAAAAAGTTGAAGGGAAAATTCTTAGTCAAATACTCAACAACTGGCTTAGCCACTCTAATGTCAATGAGATTTGCAAAGATAGAAAGCTTTATTGGGGACAAAGAAGGCCACTATCATATAATGGTAAGAGGGAGATTTTACCAGAAAATAACCCATTATCTATTTACAAGGGCTGAATAGTATTACTTCAAGATATTTGAAGCAAAAATTATCAGAAACCACACTGAAGATTCAAAATGACGAAGGAACTTTTGGCACAGCTCTGCAGCTATTGACAAACGAAACATAAAAACAGAGGAAGGCTATCAGGGAAAAAAGAAGCTCTGGATAATGGACATGGCTGACCCTGCACCCAACACTCGGAATCCACACTCTAGCACAGGCTGACCACTTCAAATTCTGTCCATGAACCAGGCTTCAAAGCCAATTTTAACCATCATCAAAGATTTTTTTCTTTTCTTTCTTTCTTTTTTTCTTTTTTTTTTAAGACAGTCTCATGTTGTCTCCCAGGCTGGCCATGCAGAACTCCTACTGTCTCCTGCACCCTGAGTAGTGAGAATATTTGTGTGAGCACCATGCCCAAGAAACGCTGAAGAATTCATATCAATCCCTCAGTTAAAAATGTTAGCTTAAGATCATTTATTTAAAAGAACTAGATAAGTTATATAAAGAAAACCAGAGTATGTCCTGAGAAAGTTCAATGAAGAAAAAGTACAGACAAAAGGAGAAAATGCCACTTACTGTATGCGAGGAGAGATTATATCAGATTTGTAATGCATATCCAGGCATCGCCATTGTGGTGTTTCTTTTATTTTTTTTCCTAATTCACTTACCTATTTTACTACAGGATACTGATCACTGATTCAAACATAAAATTATTTGTAAAACTTCACCATGGATAAAGGGTCATTTGGTCAATGCAAGACCCGTCTATAGGTGGCGGTATGGAGCGGGGGCTATTTATATTCCAGTCAGAGTGCTGAGCATATAAATGACCCCAAACATAAAGTAACAACTTTCACATGTTTCTGTCGGAGTCCACAGGGAGAAGAAGAAGTTAGCTTGGATTTGTGACAGGCTGAAGGATTAGGGGGAAAGTAGCTTTAAAATATGAGTGGGTTTTGAAGGTGGCTACATAACAAGAGACAGAATAGTTGAAAATTCAAGGTAAGCAACAGAATCAAAGTGCGTCTAACACAAACAGTGCTTCTAGATCAAGCACTGACCAAGCATGAAGTGAGGGGTCACAAAGGTAGGTTTGGTACCAAATTGTAAAAGGCTAAGCAAACAATAAGGTTTTACTTCATAGGCAGTCGATGTGCAGGGTAAGGGTCTGTCCCAGTTTTCCTGATTTATCTGGCACAGTGATGTGAATGGGGCTCCAGGAGTAAAGTTTGCAGACTGTTTCTGTTGGACAAGCCTGGGGTCAGGAAGGTCTGAGCTAGTAGACCAGTAGTAAAAACAGAAAGGACTAGAGAGAATAAAGGCAAAGAAGAAATCTGAATGGACAACTGGCTGAACCAGCAATACCAGTCAGAAGTGAGTCTGTTTCTTGATGGAAAGATGCTTGGGAACACAGGAAATAGTATGGAAGGGATGGAAAATGAATTTATCACCCTTGGATATTGGTATTGCAGTCTCTTAGTGAGAACTATATTAGAAATGTGGTCCTGAGGTCCGGGGAAAGCAATTATTTTCTTATAAAACAATGCATGATTTAAAATATGTCTGTCATTCAATGCCCCCAAACCTTCAGACACCCTGTCCTTTGACTTTCAGTCTTCCTTGTCCTTCCACCATCTCATGCAGCTCTGATTCCTCATCCTCCAGGATGTTGAACAACTCTTGGTTTACATGGTTCATTCACTGCCAGACAGGACCGACCCCCTTAACCTCTTACAGTGATACAACATGCTGGCCAGCCTTCAAAGCCTTCATTCTCTACCTGTCACAAACTCAGAGCATGGTGTTGACTACTTATTAATTGCTGTTCAAAATTGGAAATCAGGAAGAAACTAGATACATTCTTGAATTTAGTATTTTACCAGGGAAAACTGCCTATTTTCATTCATTGAGGTAACTTTTTGGAAATGCACTAAAAATACATTTATCTAAGTAAAAAAGCTGCAGGCAACCAAGCTTCCTTCCCATTTTAACGAATCTCCAAATCCTGGTATTCTTAATACTGCCTTTTGTTGTTTTGACATAGGGTCTCACTGTGGTAGACCAGGCTTGCCTCAAACTCACGGAGATCCACCTGCCTCCACCTCCTTAGTGCTGTGCTCCTTCGTGTCTGGCATTAATGTTGTCTTTTAACTTATTTAGTGCAGACAGCTCAATGGTTCAAATGTTCTGACCACGATGTGATTAAGTTATACATTAAGGGATTATAACAAAGATATATATAGATAAAAATGTCATAATGAAAAACTTTAAAATCAGAACTGAACAATTGGAATTTGGAGGATGAACTATGGCATCTTTCAAATCTCTTAAAGCAGTAGTTACTATCTATTAGAAGAGAAGGTTAAAGACCAGTTAGTTATTTCATTATTTATGTATTCTAAATTTAAAGCAAAATGTTTTGTTTGGGCTTTTCATACTAGTGACCTCTCGTGATGTTTTGCTAGCAATGTTGAACAGACCTCGTTCCCTATACTGCTACAATTCAGAAGGCTGTCTCCGGCATGTTCTTTGTAATCTGTCTGGGCAGATAATGACTGAGCCAGTTTTGAAAATGAACACCACACTGAGACTTTTCTTTGTTTTCTTCCAGAATGTAATTGTCCTATATAACGAGAACAGAGCATGCCCACTCCCCTCCATCTTACACTTTTTGTCTTTTAAATCACTTCTCAAGCCAAACGATGAGAACTGCAATCACCCTCTCCCCCAGTCCATTTCACTCACCTACAGAATGGGCTGGGAATAGTAGGTATCACATAACAAATCCCCCCATTCAGGCAAAATGACCTGAGACTGGGGCCACAGGGCTCCTCGTGATCTACGATACACATGCATATGAAATAGAGAAAGCCGGTTAACCCTTATGATGCTGCCAGGAATTGGAATGTCTCATCTAAGAATGAATCAGCATTTATGAGAGAATGATTTTTTTTTTCTCAAAGTGAAACAATCTTATTCCGTATTTCATAGGCAAGGCTGTCTATCCCTTTGAAAAAAAAAATCACTCTGTCCTAAGGTATGGCTGCTGACAATAATAAATTTAGAAGCTATATGACAGAAATAAGGAATCTTCACAGTTAGATTATAGCACAGTGATGAGGGCCTGTCCCTCAAGCAATCCAGAGATTCTTGTGGCATAGGCACTTCCTGAACAAAGCTGTATTTAGATTCTGACTCTACTTTTTATGTCTCAAATACATTTTAAAAATTCTGAAATTGTAGTAGAAAAAAATTTAGGTAAGTGAAATAGATTCTGATGTCTAAAAAAACCCTTACATATCAATGTCAAAACCCAAAGAAATATAATCTAACATGGTTTGATTTGCAAGGGTACTTCAGTTATAGCTTAAAGCTGTAAAGACTAAGGTCTTAAGGAAAACCAAAAACTTAACCTGTTGCTTAGATACAGCCAAACGCTCAGAACATCAAGGAAAAGAATCACATTTTCTCTTGCTTTCCTCTTTCCCTACTTTTTCTCCCCCCCTTCACTTTCTCTTTCACCTTTGACCTTTCCACAATCAGTCTTCATCAACCACTATTTATGATGGGAAAATTGAGAACTTCTCTTTAAAGAGACTGTCATATTGCTTTAAGATTGCATGCCAGTGCTAGTTCCTGTTTCTGTCCAAAACATGATCTAGAATCATCTAATATGAAGAAGAAAATGACATTACTTCCATGTGGCATTCAATTTGGAATTTTAAAATATGCCATTAAAAAAATCTCGATAATATAATGACTTCCAAAATACTGATACCTGTTAAGATATAATTGCAAGGAGCTCAAAATCTCCAGGCTGAATTAGAAAAGCTTAAATTTTACTTTTACTTTAGAAATGAGAAAAAGAAAATGTTCAGCTTCACATGGCAACTAGGAAAGCATATAAAAAATAGAAAAATGTAAAGAGGGAAAAAACAGATCTACAAAGACTTTGTGTTTAAAAAGAAGGCAAATTGGCCCAAACTAGTTTTTTTATATTCCCTTTTCTTATACAATGCCATGTTTCTTAATAATCTAACTTATAACATTACATAATATTTTAGGAGTGATTTTGCTAATAAAATGCCAATGATATTCCAACAGAATCAGGAGAGGTGACAAGTTTTAGAATTAAGGATTTGACTTTCCCAACTGGAATCAATGTCTTTGATTTTAACTGCATTACAGACATTCTGTAATACCTGGTGTTTCATCAGTAAAGAAAACTCACCTGACCTGAATTACTATCTCTGAATCTAATCTTATTCAGATTTCATTCACTTAGTATTCGAGAAGTCGATACCAGATAGAAAGCTAGAATCTGTCACTTTGTAAGAAACAAAACAAAAACAAGAAAACATGCAAGTCAAAAGCGAAATAGTTTTATGTTATATAGGTCTTTTAAAACTATAATATTTTTGGAAGGCTTTGCATAGAGGACAATATTGCTTTATATTAATATACATTTGTTGTCTTATTGCTAAATAAAACTCACACATAGACAAAAAGTATGAACTTACAAGAAATTACCTGTTGGCATCTTAGTTTTTAAATAGCTTCATTCTTGGTGAAAAGGATTAGGGTTGAAAGACAGTACCTAAAAGAATTCAAAATTTGTATTTTAGGGGAAATTATCCTGTATTAAGGGCATTATAAAGTGTCAAATGTTCAAACAGCAAAACTCCAAATGTTGAAAAGAAAATGTGCATGACAGAATGTGAGAGCCTTAGTTACACATGTAACACTGGACAGAGGAAACAAAGATCAATAGTAAAAGGTTAGCTTTGGAGAAATGCTTTGGTGTTGCCAAATATGCACGAAGACATGCAGCTGCGTGCTCAGCTGAGTCATCTGAAGGGCCATCTGTGCTTTTCCCTGAAGCCTCTCAGAAAGCCAATGTCCCAGGAGAACCCATAGCCTCCCAGTTTTTCAACTTGCTGAAAACGGTCAAAGATCATTTAAAATGTTTGCACCTCTGTCACAACTTTAAAACTTTTATAAGAGCACTTCCAAGTTTAGTAGAGGTCACACATTCCACCTGTCAATCAATTGACAGATGCCCTTCTTTAAAACAGTGTCTGACATTTGGCAAGGCGGGTGACATGCTGGTGTGTGACATTTGCTATTATAACGAAAACAAAAGCATTAAAAAAAAAAAAAAGAGCTGAAGAGGCGAAGCATCCGTACTTACGTTGTGATTGCCAGCTTGTGATGTAGTCCACAGACTGCAGTGGAAAGTTTAATCTACTGTTTCATATAAGAACAGGTACAATATTCAAGTTTTTCCTACACCTATTTCTTTTACAGAGAGAGAGAGAGAGAGAGAGAGAGAGAGAGAGAGAGAGAGAGAGAGAGAGAACAATCAAGAACGAACACATAAACACAGTCAAAGTATATCACCAGCTCATTCTGACCACCCCCCCAAATGAACAGGGCTTACCTCAACAAAAATTTATATTCCCATACAAAAAGTAAATTTTGCTAGCTAGACATGCAGCATTTCCCAAGTTTTTGAACACTGAGAGCTTCGGCAGCAGTGACTTGCACTTTACACCATGTCAAAAATCTGATTTATGTGGTTTCAGTGTGGGCGAGGTCAAGGCAGACCAAGGTGTGCACAGAGGTCAGGAGCAAGCAGCCGAGGGAACCACTCCCACATGTTTCCAAACTGCAAACAGGCAGGATTTCTCTCAGAAAAGGAGCTGCACTCAGTGGCACCCCTACCGTGCAGTTCAAGCTCCAGAGTTAGGAAATAAGCCACATTCTCTAGAGTCTTCACTAATCTCTGCATGTCTTGATAACTCACAAGTGCTTTGGAAGCTTGTGGAGAAACAGCATTTTGATATGAAACTAAAGGGCTTAAAAAAGAATTTCCTTATAAACTATGTAGAAATCTATGTGCAATGACTTGGACTTATGAAACTGAAGAAAACAGCAGTTGTCACAGAGCTCACACCTATGGTGCCAACCTGAAATGATGCAGCTAATGGGTCTGATAACAGAAGCCACCCAAGAACTGTGACAAAGCCATTTGTGTGTGCTGCTATAATCTCCTTGGACTTGTGTAAGTCCCATTGTGTTTCCTTGTGGTCATCCATCACCTCTGGCTCTTACAATCTTCCTGCCTCCTTCCTATAGAGATCCCTAAGCCACACATCCACTAAGAAAAGTTAAGTTCCAAAAATCGTGTTTTAAAATGTTAATCTATAAATCTGTCTACATGAAGTGTGGGTGCTCCTTTCATATAATTATCTAAAGTATTTTGATGGGTTATATTATTTAAAATCACAATTTAGACAAGATCATTACTTCATGGGTATAAAACACAGAAATAAACACATTTGTTCTCATATATATATATATATATATATATATATATATATATAAAATACACTTTTGACTACAGAATTATTTTTATTGTTACATACTATCTCCCACATTCAAAGGGAATTTTATAGCTATAGTAACTACATATATGTGTATATATAAACTATATACTATATACATATAAATATAAATTTTATAGCTATAGTCACTAATATATGTATGTATATATATACACACACATAGATCATTTTAGCATATAGTATTTGAGACTGAAAATGAGACGATGAAAAATATCCTTTCTTATTTGAATTAGGAAACTACCATGTTGTCAACAGTTTCATATGTCAATATAATAGTTAAAATAGGAATGAGCACTAAAAGTACATGTGGGAAATCATGTGACCTTAAGCCATTCAAGATGCATTTATTAAGAGACATTTCACAACAATCTGTACTGAGCATCTTTTTTTTCTGAGTATCTTTTATACACTAGAAATAACAAGGAGAGCCATGTGATTCCTTATTTCACTACTTAAGACAGAGTCTTGCTGTGTGGCCCAGGCTTACTTACCATTTATAGTCCTCTTAACTTAGCCTACCAAACTCTGGGTTTGCAGATGTGAGCTACCTGAATGAATGTGATTCTGTTTTAGAAAATAAGATTTTCAATCTAGCATTTTACTGAATGGAAGCCCTGGTACTTAAGAACAATTTCTACAGTTACCTGTGAACAAGTGTGGCGAGTGGTAACAATCTTTTAACAAATGCATACCACCTATTGGTCACAAACATAAAACAAGTAACTTAACAGAGTCTTTGGTTCATTCGTTATTGTGGTTTGGATCTTAAATGTCCCTCCTAACCAGCATTTATGTGTTGGGTGGTTTGGTCTCCATCTGATGGCACCACTGAGAGGTAGCAGACCTTTAGGAGGTGGGAGCTAGTGGAGGAAGTTAGGTCATTTTAGATGGGCCCTTTGCTGGGACATAGGGCCCCTGGCCTATCCTGTTTTCTGGACATCATGAAGAGCTTTTGCTCCATGTTCTTTGAGGTGATGCTCTGTCTCCCACAAGCCCAAAAGCAGCAGAGCCAACTAACTATGTACCAAGGCTATGAGCCAAAATAAATCACCCCTTTATTTTACTTCTCTTGTGTTTTTCCACAGCAACAGAAAGCTGACACAAAAACTCACATAAGTAAGATTTTTACTTAGAACAAAGATAATTTTGTATGGGTTAATCTACGATTAACACTCATTACTTTTTTTTTTTTTTCCGAGACAGGGTTTCTCTGTGTAGCTTTGGAGTCTATCCTGGCACTCGCTCTGGAGACCAGGCTGGCCTCGAACTCACAGAGATCCGCCTGCCTCTGCCTCCTGAGTGCTGGGATTAAAGGCGTGCTCCACCAATGCCCAGCCTTGAAGCCATTTATTAAGCACATGTTGTGTGACACAGAGGCCAGGGACCATCTCCTGTGAAACACCACACTGAAGCATTGGTGGTTGGAGGAGGCCCAAGGAAACAGAAGAACATGAGAAAAGCCATCGCCCCTCTCCCCAGAAGCGAGCTCTTCCTAGCAGATTTCTGGTTTATCTCCATGATTCAGTATGCAAATATTCCTTATTTCTATATCTATTACTCTAGACAAGGTCTGTGTCCCTGCCATGGACATAGTCTCTTAACACTATCCCATACTTCTTTACCCTTTCTTCATTTCAACATTTAGTAAGTTGCATTATTTCTCCTCTTGGCTATACTTGTAATTTCAAATGAGATAGGTGGTCCCTTGGTATTTGCCAGGGATTGGGGCCAGAACTTCTTACAAAGACCACAAAATCCATGGGCACTCGAGTGGGCATTATTTCCAATGTGAAACTTTTTTGTATATTTTAATCTTTTCCAGATGACTTATGATACCTAACCCAAAACAATGCCAATGCTATATAGATAGAGGGAACAGGATTTTACTCAAGAAATAATAACAAGAAATAAGCCTCTATAAGATCAACACAGATGTAACTTTTCCTGAGTATCATGGATCCATAGGTGATCCAGCCCACTGGTTGTAGAGCCCAGGCAAGCATGGAACCCACCAGGTAAGGGTGGCCAAATACAGCTCTACATCTTCATAAGCCAGGGTCGGTGTACAATCTGACTTTTGAAATTCATTATACATATGAATGTCTTCCCTGCAGGTATGTGTACATACCACATGTGTGCCTGGTGTCTGTAGTGGCCAGAAGAGAGCATAGGATCACCCTGGAATCTGGATGGTGGTTGTGATCATGAATGTGGTCACCATGTGGGTTCTGGGAATTGAACCTGGGTCCTCTGCAAGAGCAGTGCTCTTCACTTCTGAGCCATCTCTCCAGCCTCACAAGCTGGCTTCTTACTGTGTGTTATAACTAATGGTACTTCTGCCCGGTCTCATTTCCCCTTCTTTATTGACTGTGTCTTAATTTCTTTTTTTTTTCTTTTCTTTCTTTTTTTTTTTGCAGATTTTTTAATTTGAATTAGAAACAAGATTGTTTTACATGACAATCCCAGTTCCCTCTCCCTCCCACTCCTCCCCTATCACCCCACAACTAAAACCCTACCTATCACATATCCTTTCTGCTCCCTCTGGATGGTGAGGCCTTCTATAGGGTGTCATCAGAGTCTATCGTATCCTTTTGGATAGGGGCCTAGGCCTACACCCGGGTGTCTTGGCTCAGGGAGTATTCTTCTATGTGGAATGGGCTCCCAGAGTCCACACCAATGCTAGGGATAAGTACTGAACTACTACGGGAGGTCCCGTAGATTTCCAAGGTTTTCTCACTGAAACCCATGTTCTTGGGGTCTGGATCAGTCCCATGCTGGTATTCCAGCTATCAGTCTGGGGACCAAGAGCTCCCGATGTTCAGGTCAGCTGTTTCTGTGGGTTTCACCAACCTGGGTCTTAATTCTTATATTATAATTTTAACATTTACATTCTGATCTATAGTCCTAATAAACTATTTTATATTTTGCCTCTGACTTATTCTAAAAGTTGGGAAACAATAAAAAAAAGTACTTCTATTATTCAGACTATCTAATTAGTATTCGTGGACAGATTCATGAGGCATGCAGGGATAATACACCTTTCTCTCACCCTCTTGAAGATGGCTTAAAAATCACTCTACCTTTAACTTCTTATAGGTAGGAAATTAAAGAGTAATATGATTAATTTTAACATCACAATTAGCCTCTTAACCATGCTGTTTATTTGATGCATTTCCCTATCATTTCCTTAGACATTCTCTCTTGCAGAACTCTCCCCCTGCCCTTGTATCTGAGTGGCTGTCCTCTAGAATTGCTACTGAACAACCAGGTTGCCATTTCAAAGCTTCTCTTCCCTGGATTGATTCCTGTTTCCTAGATGCCCTGTCTCCCATTTTGTCCACTCTCGTTTTGGTTGGAACTCATCACCTAACTTCCTATACCAGGACTCAGTACACGCTTTGGGTTTCTGCCTGATGAACGACATTTCTTTTCTCTTTATATGTAATAGCACTCAGCTGGTCATATCAATGTACATTGAAAAAACAATTCCCAATTTGGATACTGTACATTATCTTTCAGAATCCAGCAATGAAGACCAGAGTGTCCTGACTGTTCAATCCTTAAAACCTTGTAAGTTACCCTGAGTATGTGAGGTCTTTTATTTCTGCTGAAGGTTCCAAAATTTCATGAGAACGTTACCTAAACTTATCCTTGGGAAAGTTTTCTAGTGCTAGATAGACATGTGTGTCCTTCCTGGCTGAGGGCTTGTTGTAGTGTGAGGTTTTACTTTTTTAGCTTTTGGGGGGTCCACCACCCAGCTCCAAAATAAATCATACAAAGAGGCTTACTCTTAATTATGAATGCCTGGCCTTAGCGTGGCCTGTTTCTAGCCAGCTTTTCTTAACTATAATTAATCCATCTACCCTTCCCCTCTGGGCTTTTATCTTTCTTACTTCTGTATACCTTACTTTTCTTCTTACTCGGTGGCCGTCTAGGTGGCTCGTCCCTCATGCCCTCCTCCTCCTGTTCTCTTGCTGTTCCTCTCTCCTTCCTTGTTTCTTCTGTTTATACTCTCTGCCTGCCAGCCTTGCCTATCCTTGCTCCTGCCTTGCTATTGGCTGTTCAGCTCTTTATTACGACCATCAGGTGTTTTAGACAGGCAAAGAATCACAGCTTTACAGAGTTAAACAAATGCAGCATAAACAAAAGTCACATACCTTAAAACAATATCCTACCACAGCTTCAAGAAATAATAACAAGAAATAAGCCTCTATAAGATCAACACAGATGTAACTTTTCCTGAGTATCATGGATCCATAGGTGATCCAGCCCACTGGTTGTAGA